CAGGCGGTAAGGAGAAGGAGGCGACAAAGCATTTCCTGGCAGTGGGCGGGCCTGTGCCTCCCTCTCAGAGCCCGAGGGCTAGAGCTAGGGCTTAGGTGAGCCCAGGGCTGCTATGGGCTCTCCGGTTTGGGGCGGGGTTAGGCTTCCTACACAAGCTCTGGAGCGAAAGACAAGCTCTGGAGCGAAAGCCGCTGAGGCCCCAGGGCCATGGAGGCAGGTCTTGGGCCTACAAAGGGGGGAAGTGGTGGCCGCCCCTACCCCACCTTGGCTCTCCCGGGTCCCAAAGCTCGGCTGGGGCTGGGTCATGCACGTGGCCGCAGGCTTTCCCTCCCTTCCGCAAGGGCCACCCCAGGGGATGTTCCTGATGTGGTCTTTTGAGTTGGGGTCCTTGGGTTCACTCTGGGAAAAGTCTCCCCAGAGCTCCCCTTTCAGCGGCACACGGCGAGATTCTTCACGATACTGAGACTCAGTTATACTTAAAGAGGAGGTTTATTAGAAAGAGACAGGAGAGGAAGAGACACTTGCATAGGCACAAGTGGGCAGGGGAACTGCCCCGGACTGGACAGGCTTGCTGAGTGTCCTGCATGGTTGCAGGCGGGCGGCCTAGGGGAGCGGCCTCCGCTGGGGGAGGCCAGTGCGGAGAAGTCCTGGCGGGTGCAGGTCGCGGGCAGGCAGGAGGCTGCTGCCCCCCAGAGAGAGAGGGTGGGTGGGCAGAAGCACCTGCATGGGCACAGGTGGGCAGCAGAACAGCTGCCCTGTGCTGGTGCAGAGACGCCCTGATACAGACAGCTTCTCCCTGGGCGGGGCTCACTCCCTGTGAGCCTAGGTAGAACTTGAGAGGACTGGAGATTTCCTGGTGAGCTTCGCCTCCATGTCCTGTTGGGTCTGAGCTTCAGGCACAGCCCCCAACAGTCTGTCACCTGCTGGGACCTCTTGGCGACATCTGGGCATCCCGGGCATCCTGGACATGGGCTTTGGGGCCCGAGGACCTTGATGTTATGGCTGTGTCAGTCGCTGCACTGGCCCCTTGTACCTGTTCCCTCTGTGCGACTCAGTCTTGTGATGCCTCCCTGCTCTCCTTCCTCCATCACTCCTAAACTGAGGCCTTGGAATGAGCCCAGGCCTGCTCTGGAGGGGGTCTACCTGGCCCCTCAGGAGGGGGTGGGGTCGACAGCCCCGGGAAAGAAACCTCCAGCTAATGCTCTTTATTACAAGCTTTAATCCCCCAAAGCCGACTGGAAATAATGTTTATCTTTTCGCAGTTTAATTTCCCGGACCTGAGGCAGCAGGTCAGTGAGGGCGACTGGAAGGCCCCTGGGGAGGTTGGGGGAAGGAGCAGCTGTGGTCCAGAGCAAAAACGTGGCGGGGAGGGGGTCTCCCCAGGAAGCAGAGGCTGGGAACCCAAGCCTGACAGGGACCTGGAGTCCCCACGGTGGTTAGTGGTTCCGTGTGGCCCTGAACCAGCCCTTATCCGCCCTGTAGTCCCGGTTTCTTCATCGGACAAAGAGGTTTGTGTTTTCTAATCATGACAGGACAGGTTGGGCTGGGTGGTGGCAAGATGCTTGCTCCCCGAGGTTTTTCCGACCCTCATCTTACCCCTCCCAGCCTCACAGGGCGGGGCCTGGAGGCTGGAATCCAGGCGGGTCTCAGGGTGCCTGGCTGGAGCCCAGCATGCTGCCATTACACCCCAAGGATCTAGCTGCCCGCACCTCCCAGCGGCCTGGGACTTCCAGCCTGCATTCCCTCCCCAGTCTCCTGCGCCTCCCAGGGCCTGGCTGGGTTCTTCTCCCTCTGCTCCAGAGCAGCAGCAGCTGGCTGCCCAGAAGCCTCACCCCACCGCTGGGATCGCAACTCCAGCGCTCTAGCACAGCGAAGTCTGGTTTCCAGGCCCCTCCCCACGCTGCACTCCTGGGGTGAAAGCCCCTCCCCACCGCTCAGCGCCCTGCGGTCTGTAAAAGTGTTGGCTATTCAGGATTAATCCATTAATGGGCAACGATGCGCCCTGGTCTCCACAGAGCTCCAAAGCTGTCCCACCTGTCCGCTGTCCCACCTGTCCACTGTCCCACGGGGTTTCAGGGGTTTCAGCAGCCCGCCACAGACATCCAAGCCCATGACCACCCCACCGCCTGCGCTCCTGGTAAACTTAAGACCCCAGGGCAACCCGGCAACACCCCGCTTCCAGACAAGCCCCGCAGCTCCCCCCTCCCACCTCCCGGGCCCCTCCCCTCAGGGGTGAGGGTGAGCCAGGCAGAGAAGGGTTAGCAGCCTTGGCGGCCCCCACCCCCTTGGGTGTGTCTTGAGTTTTCCTCCCTGCAGGAAAGGGTTGACATCTGCAATCCACTCCCACCTGTCCTCCCCCAGGCCCCCCTTCAAAAGACCCTCCACCCTCCACCTCCGCCAGAAACAGGTCACACAACTTAGGTTAATTCCATTCTTTTTAAGGACGCAGGGGTGGGGGAGACTTGCGAGGTCCTTTGGGGGGGGCGGTCAGCATTGAAATTACAAAGTGAGGGAGGCGGGCAAGGAGGAGAGGAAGGGAGCCGCTCCAGACCCTGAACCGAAGAGGAGGGAGGAGACTTCTATACCGAGGGGTGACCCCACAGAGGCCCAGCCCGCGGCTGGCCTTCCCCCAGGGGCCTGGCCACCTCCTCCCCAGTCTGGCAGGACGCAAGTCCCAGCCACCCCCAGCTCCGCGTGCAAGAGAGGCCGGTTGGAGGCTGCTGTGTGTCTTTCAGTGAAGCGAGAGCCCGCTTCTCTGGCGAGATCTGCCAACTTCTTAGTGTGGAGGTGACTTGGAAACTAGGGCTGCTTCCCAGATTCTTCTGCAAATCACAGCCATTGCGCTAACCTGCTGAGAGAGGAAAGGTTGATTAAAACCCGAAGGCCGCTTGGTGGCAATTCCTAGGTAATAGGGGTAGGTCGGGTCTCCCCTAAAGGGAATCAAAGGTCTAGAGGCAATTTGCTGGCCAGAGGAGGCATTCGGACCCCTCGTGTGTAAATTAAAATAACAGCGGAACCCAATTTTCTAAGCCGGTAGCTAATCCTGAGAGAAATTACCAGAAAGAGCAGGCTGACAGTAATTTGCCTGAGGCTACTCAGTGCTTGGGATTGTCCTTCTCAGGGCTGGGCTGAAATTCCCTTTTACCAGACACAGTCACACAGCCAGGAAGTTGGGGGTGGGGGGTGGGGCTCCGGCTGCTGCAACCTGCTTGGAGACTCCCTGGGGCTGAGGGTTCTCTGGGGACAGCACCAGCCAGTTGTGCTCTACCCTCCCTCTGGGGTTGGTGACCGCAGAGAGACCCATGAGCTGGACTCACGCACTGGCCTTCAATGAGTGGTGTGACTGGCCAGCCCCCCAACCCCCCACAGACGTTTTTGGAAGCCTTGATGCTGCTGCCTCGCCCTAGCCAACTCTTGACCCAAGCATGAGGGAACAGCTGGCCTCTTCTGAAGGACAGACAGGGACAAGGGCGCCTGTCCAGGGGGTCATGGTGGCACTCGCCCAACAGGACATGGACACTAGGGTGGCGATGAGGTTGTCCACCTCTTCCGTGTCCTTCTAGGGCTTCCAGGCGAGTTACGTCTCATTCTAACCTGTCACCATCATTTGACTTTAAAAAGAAAGGGGCCTTGAGCTTAGCTCACTTTCGCTTTTGCCAGTGCCATGGGACAATTTTACATCAGGTCCCAGCTGGACATGCCCGAGAGGGGGCAGAGGGGGTGAGCAAAGGCCAGGTGTTGTGGCCACACCCTGCGAGGGCAGCCGGGGGCCACTACCTTCTGCTCCAGACGGATACTGGCACCGCACGGCGGGCTCCCTCCGCCTCGGGCAGGACGCACAGTTCCGCCCCCGCAGGGCAAACGTGGGGTTCCCGAAGGCTTTGGCTACACTGGAGGGCTCTTCGCACGTGGAGTCTCTGGGGACCCCTGGTCTGGCGGCCGGGCCTGGAGGCCGCGGTAGCAGGTGACACTCGGGACTGGGCGGCCTGGGCGGGGTGGGAGGTGCATCGTGGAGCGGGCGGGCCACGGCGGTGTGCGCCAGAGACCAGATGCGGGGCTTCTCGCTGGGCGGATAGTGCACCGTCAACCTGGGGCCCCCTGGCTCCACCTGGAGGAAACCAGTTTCTCCCGCACCGGGAGGTTCATTAAATGAGAAGCGGGGCGCGTCCAGGCCGCAGGCCCTAGGCTCCAGCCCGCCCTCCGGAGCTGCCGTGCAGGGCGCCAGGAGCGAGGGCGAGCCCTTGGCAAACTCGGCCAGCCTGTCCGTAGCGGTCTGCACCGACGCTTCGTCTTCGCCCTCCTCCTCTTCCTCGAGGTCTTCGAGGTCACTCAGCCGGAGCTCTCGTGCCTCTTGGCTAGCAATAACGTCTGCAGAAAATCAGAAGCGAGTGAGAAAAGCTGCAGCACCCAGGGGAAACCCCAAGGCTGCTGGGCGGAGAAGCTTTTAGCAAGATGCGCCCCTGTAGTGGGCGTCCTGGGTGTTATCGTCCAGGCTGGGCACCCCATGGCTTCAGGGTCCCTTGGCTGGCCGGACAAGAATTCCGGCCCCCAGCCCTGACCCCAGCCCTAGAAAGACGTGGCTTCGGGTGCATTTCCAGGTCCAGCCTCTCTGCTGCCCCAAATCTGGATCTTGATTTCTCCATGGCAAAAGAAGCGGAGGATAATGTTTGCCCATTGCCACACCCACAAGATGACTGATGTGTGTCATTTAATTTAGCGAATAACGTGCTAGGCAACATAGTAGGCATTAAGTGTTTAGGAAATACAGCAGCTAATGAGACATTTTAGGGGGGTGTGGACATGGGTGTGTGGGGGAACTGGGAGGGGGGTGATGGACAGCTTCCTTGCGCTTCCTCAAAGGGATAGGTAAGGGCCACGAAGGAAATCAGGCAGCAGATGTGACAGAGAATCCTGGAAAGCTGTGGTAGCTTGGGTGGCCTGGGAAACGTCTCTGATGTGACTCTTTAAAGTTGAGAAGTCAGTTCCGCAGGGAATTCAGGCAGGGGAACCTCAGGGCAGAGGCCCTGCGGCAAGAGGAGGTACAAATGCCAGGGCAAATGAGGGAATCGCTTCCTTTTTCCAGAAGCTGCTCTGCAGGGTGGCTGTGAAAATCTAACCAAAGTGCTTCCCGCCCCGCCCCCACCCGTTGGCTTGAAAAGCGAAAGCGGACCGGTGAGCCGGTGAGCGGTGCGCACTGGCGCTACCTTTGGTGTCGGGGTTCAGGCAACGCAGGGGTTCCTCTGCTCCACCCTCCGCCTTCCTTTCCTCCCCGCCTTTGTTTTTGGGGGCCCAGGTCATCTTGTTCTCCTTCTTGAGGCGCCGGCGCGCGTTGGCGAACCAGGTGGACACCTGGGTGAGGGTCATCTTGGTGATGATGGCCAGCATGATCTTCTCGCCCTTGGTGGGGTAGGGGTTCTTGCGGTGCTCGTTGAGCCAGGCCTTGAGCGTGCTGGTGGTCTCCCGCGTGGCGTTCTTCCTTCGCCCAGCACAGCCCAACTCCACAGCTCCGTACCTGGGGGAGGGTTGGGGGGAGGGCTCGGATGGGGGGCTGCTGGCTCACAGATCGGGGCTGGAACTTGGGGTGGCGGCAGGAGACAGTCTGTCCCTGAGGTTTTTTGCTCCTCTTCTTCCTCCACCTACCCCTCACCCCCACCCCACCCCACCCCCATCAGCCACAGGATAGCGGGGACAGGACAAGGCAGAGGTTCCAGTCTCCCAGCTGCGCGCACCTTACCTGTCATACTGATACTGCCCCAAAGCAGGCTCATAGGGGTAATAGGCTCCTGGTTGTGCCAAGCTGGGTGTAAATTTCCCTGCAGCCTCCTTAAATTCATACTGTGGATTCTGGTGGGGGAGGAAAAGAGAATTCTGGATGGTACCAGGAGGCTAGCCGCTGGTTGCTGAGGGTGTGGACTGTGCAGCCAAGTCTGGTTCAAATCTCAGCACCAGCGATTGCTCTTTGGCGGTGTGCTCTTGGGCACAGTCGAGGCACTCTGTGCCTCAGTTTCCCCCCTTGGCAGGTTCCTGGTACGAATAAGCAGTGGGTCAACTTTAGCTGTTAATGTTACTCCTGTGTCTCTCCACCCTCCCGCCCATGAGAACTTCCCGTTCTTCCAGAGCAAGAGCATTCCCTCACATTTTGCACCTTTTTCACTCTGGGTGTGTGAACGGCTCAGCACCTCAATTTCCTGTGTAAGCTGAGAAAAGCAATGACTTGCCTACCTTGCAGAATTAAGAGGCACGAGGGTCTTCTCAGTAAAATAGAGTTCTGCAAACTGTAAAATGCTGCAATCTCCCCTCCCCTTAAATACAGCTGGAGCTATTTCTCTCCTCGGAGCTGTGCATCCTTCCTAGATTTTTCTCCAGAGAGAGATTTCGCAGCCGCTCCCACCCTACCCCCGCCAGGCCCCACCCCCTGCACTCACCAGGGCTCCGTACAGGGAGGGCGGCTCGGCGCTGTAGGGGAGGTAGCCCGGGTAGCTCTGGGCAGCTGCCGCGGCCGCATAAGGGGCGCCGTAGATGCCCAAGGCCGCCCCCAGCTCCGGCCGGGTGTTGCTCAGCAGCCGACTGTCGTAGGGTGCGCAGCAGAGCGAGGCCGCAGCGGTGGAGCCTGAAGCCGCGTCTGGAACGGAGCGCGGGGCCGATTCGCAGCAAGTCGCGCTGGAACTTGCAGACACCAGAAACTGCGGGGGCGGGAGAGGGGGCGCTGGAGGTCAGAGACCCAGGGCTCGGCGGATCGCCCCTTCTCGCTTCATTCACTAAATGCCAGCGTGCGCTGAGGGCTCTCTGGGTCCCAGGATGGGAATTTCCGGAAGAGGCAACAGTTTATCCAAACCGCCCTTAGAGACATTCCCAAACCACTGCCAAGACTCCAGAATCCCAGGGGCTCCCGGAGACCCTTCTCAGAAGCCCCCATTCAGACGCCAACTCCTCCTTAGCACCCACCTTCATCACCGGAGGCTACAACGGCAGAGCTAGAAGTTGGCCTTAGCGACAGTCATCAAGGCTCACTCCACCTTCCCCTCCCCGGGCAGGCAGTGAGGGCCAGAGAGCCCAGTGTGCCCAGGACCTCAGAGCAGGTCAGAGGTCAAGCAGGGCTAGCACCTGGAGAACAGTGGTGGCCCCCCCCCACGTTTCCCCCAGGGAACCCCGGTCATTACACAACACCCAATCTGCTCTGGAAAACCTTAGAAACCGGTTTCAGAGAGCAGAGACCAACCCCAGGAAAGAGGGTCAGTGCAGAAGAGAGCAAATGGCCAGCCACCGAGAAACGTGAGCTGGACAGCGCTCGCGGGAGCCCTTCCACAGATTGCCCAGGCCACCTTCCACAGCTGCACAATGAGGAGGCCTGTCTGGGGCACCCCTGAGCTATCTCACCCACCTCCATGAGCTTGTGGTCAGGGTGCCCAGGTTTGGGGTCACACTGGGGGAGTGGAACGTTCTCAGCCTGGGGTTAGGGGCGTCAGAAGGGCCTGTGGTTCAGGACTCTGTTCCCTCTGGCTTCCGGGGCCCCTCGCGAGAGGAGGGTGCCTAGGGACAGGCACTAGCGCTGGGCACCCCTCCAACCAATCTGCCCCCACCCCCTAGGGAGGCGCCTCTTACCTGGGAAGCGCTGCCGTAGGGGTGTCCGAAGTGCGGGAAGGACATGGTGGCTGCCCCTAGCCCGCCTCCCTCTTTTGTGAGTTCCCGCCTCAGCCTGGTGGTTCTGCCGCGCCAGGCGCGCACCGCCTGGATTCCTTACACGCCTGCGGGTGCCCAGCGCCGGATCCTCCGCCCGCTTCGCGCGACTGGAGGCAGAGCTGAAGGCAGCTCGGCTGCCGAGCCCTGCGCACCAGAAGGCGCCCCTCTGGCCCGCGTGGTCCGGAAGACAGAAGGGCCCATGGATGGGCAGAGGAAGGGAGCGGGTGCGGGTTCCTAAAGACGCGCGGTGGCGAGGCAAGGTGTGGCGCCGCGCGGGGCTGTGCGATTCCCGAGGTGTCCCGGTCCAAGGTGGCCGGAGGCTCAGTGTGACGTCACGGTGATCCCGGGCCGCCAGGCGGGCCCCCGGGCCCCGGGCCCCCGGGTCACCAGGCGTGCCAAGCGCAGCCAGCCCGCGCGCGCGCGCTCACCCGCACTCACACTTGTTCCGGGAGGTTTGTGCAGCTGGAGAGAAACGTCAAAGACCCTGACCCAGTCTGCTGGGCGTTGGATCCTACCCCTCTTCGCTCTGAGCTCGCGCGCGCGCGCGCGCATAAATTCAGGCTCTTCAAATTACCCGGGAGTAGTAGAATTACCTCCCTCTGCGCCGTGCAGGCCCCGGGCTCAGCGCGCTTCCCTCCTCCCCCGCGGCCTGAGGAGGATAGAAGCCAGCCGGGAGGCAAGGGAGGAGAGGATACAAAAGAAGAGACTGGAGGAAAAAAGAGGAGAAAAGTGGGGGAGAAAGGCAAGAGGGAGAAGGAGGAGGGTGAGGAGAGAGATGTGGAATCTTAAGCGAGCAGAGGCTCGCGGGGGAGGGGAGGGACCTAGGGTGGGCGAAGGCTGGGCGGAGGTTGACTACTGGCAGGTGGAGAGAGTAGAGGCCGGGGGACCAGCCTCCAGTCGGACTCCCCCGCCCCCCCGCTCCCCCCCGCTGCAGGAAACTTTGTGCCACGGCCCCACGCACTTGGGCAGCTCTTCGAAGTGTCGAGGGGTCCCCACTGGCTCGCCAGTCTTTGTCCTCGGGGGTCTGTCCCAGTCTCCCCACGGCTCTAGCTGGATTTAAGCTCCCCAAGCACTAGTCTTTGGCAGGTCTGCCCCCCAGGCTCCTGAGCCGCAGTTTGACCCTCTAACGGGCCGAATAGCGCCCTCACCAGGCCAAGGTTCAGGCCTGGAAACGCGCCGGGTATGACCTCAGGCGTCTAGGGACCAGGGCTTGGCCCTTGGGTCACTCTCGCCAAGGCTCAACCCCGCTGCCTGCTGCGCACAGCCAGCTGGGTCTTGGAGCCCCGGAACAGAGGACGGCGCGGGGCCGAGCTGCGAACGCTGCGCTCCGCTGAGGGGTGGCGCTGGCGAGCCGCGTTCAGCGCGCGGGGAGGGCAACCCAGTCCGGGCCTTCTGCGGGCACTGGCGGGGCCCAGCTGTCAGACCACCCGCCTCTCCATCCCACGGGCCCTCAAAGGGGCGCTGTGGGGCCCCATTCTTTAGGCCGCCGTCGCCCCAGTATTGTAGAGTCGGCATCCCTCATAATCCTCTCCGGGCCTCTAGCTCGGGTGTCTGGACCAGGAGGAGCAGTGAGACTGGCCAGGGGAGGCCTTTGGCATAGCTGCTGGGGTGCACGAGTGGAAAGTGGGCTTTGGGGTTTTCAGACCAGAAACCTCAGAAAACCTTAGCTGTTCATTCACGAGGTGACAGCGCCTTACAGTTTATTAAGTCGCTTTCTGGGGGGCGGGGGTGGGGGTGGGGTCTTCACCACAGCTGCCAGGAGGAATCTGGGAGGGCTGTTTTATTTTCTAGCTGAAATGCGGGAGCCTGTGACCCAGAGGTTAGAAGAGCCTGGGGCTTTCCATGGGTTCTTGAGGAGCCTGGAGAAGTTCTGGGGGCACAGTAAGAGTTGGGGGCCTGGCCCGGGCTCCCTGGCAGAGTTTGCCTCTGTCCTCCACCTTGCAGAGGAGTTAGGTAGGCCCTGAAGTCAGCCACTCTTGACGACAATCCAGCCTTATTTTCTGTACAGTCTGCAGAAAGCCAAGGAGTCTTAAAGAAGCTACAAACCGCAGACTCCTCCACTTAAGAGATTGTTAACTCCTGTTAATGTTGCCCTCAACCTCATTCTCAACACGAACAAATCCAGTGCTGTTGGTGGCTGTGGCTGCTGCTGTCTTTACCTTGGAGAAACCTTGCCTAGTTAAAAAAAGAATTATAGTTATCGCCAGATTGATTTAGTGATAAAAATTCACCCTAATAATAGATCCCTTGGTTTTTCCAAATGTAATTTGGAGCCATCCACACATTTGCAGTTTGGATACATCTAAGCTATTTTTAAAAGTAAGAATGGGAGAGAATTCATTCAATTAGTCCCTGGGGGAAGATTACTGCTAATTAATTAATTGCAAACATTTCCAGAGGGAAGGTATGTCAATTGTAAAGTAATAAAATTAGATCGTTGAAATACTTACTCAGCAACTTTGATTGCCCATCCGTTCCTAAGCAGAATTGTTTTTATGACAGAAAAATGGGGATGGTGGTGAAGAAAAAGCATTAGTTCTGTCCCCTGGCGATCTGGTTGCAAAGGAGAAACTACCATATAGACTTTATTGATTTCTAGCTGATTTATAAGACCTCTGCGGTATCAGTGCTGTGCCGGCCTCCAGCCTTCCTCTTCACTCTCCAGGATTAGAGAAAAGCAACAAGATTTTTCAAAAGAAAAAGAAGAGGGGGGTGAACAACACTGGCAAAGTAAACTGGCAGGCAGGAGCGTGAAGAGAGCCTGGGTACCACGGGAAGGCATCTTCTAGTGACTTCCAAGTGACTTTATGGTATCAGAATGTTCTCCCCAGGAAGGTCCCAGCCCCCACACCCCCCCTCCACACACACCTCCTGTTTCCAGACACCGGAGTCCTTGATTTAACATTTCTTTCCCAGGGAGGCTGTGCAGACAGCAAACACGCTCTGTGCTCCTGTCTTTGATGTTGGGTGATCACGACTCAGTATTGGCAGCCCTCCCCCCCCCCAAAAAAAGTGGTTCCTATGAACTGTGCCTCCTTGTCCCAGTAGTTTTGGACCCACAGAACAAAACAAAGCCAGTGGGCTCAATGGAGATCACCCTCTGTCTGGCGGAAAGCTCAATTGCAGATTCTGGTTCAGGAAAGCTGCCTGGAATTTGCTGCCTCCTCTTAACTGTGAACAGGCATCCGAGTGCACGGATTAATTAATTTCAGGGAAAATGCCCGATCGTGTAGGTCGAGGCACAACATTTTGTCAAAACAAGTAAGCAAACCTATCAGTGACAGACTTTCCCAGCTACATTTAAAGGGAGTCACGTCACCTAAAATATTTAAAGCAAATCTTAGAGACTCTTTGGATACTTTCTGCACTATACCCTGATATTTCCTCTAGCTGCTCATTAAAGCAAATGTGAAACAAGGCAAACCATCAAAGGCCTACTGGGAGCAGAGAGAGTACAATTCTGGATTGTTTATTTGAAGTTCATGTGGCGTTAACAGCAGAGGAGGGCTTGACAGACAGGGGAAGGCTGTGTCTTGGACTGTAAGCTTGAATGCAAGAACCACAATATTTTTTAATGGGAAACAAATCACATTTTATTATTTCAGGTCAAACACTCATCCTTTCCTAATGATTTACGAAGACAGCAGATTTTACAGGTGTTGGGGAAACTCACCAGCAATGCCCCCCAATCAACTTTAGTGTTTTGCATCACAGAGGGCATGTGTGAACCAGGGCATAATAGCATAGCTGAAAATACGCTAAATTATATTTTTTAAGTGCGGATTTTTTAAAGTGACTGTTCTGGAACTGGCAAGAATGAAATTTCCTCAAATCTATGCATGAATGAACAAGTGCATCTGGACAGATGCATCTATAATTTATCCCCATCAGCCACTATAGGTCTCCCCCAGTAAAGCCGAAATGAACACTAATTGTTCTGACGGAAGCAGTGTGCACAGCATCTGATCATGAACAGCAGCCAGCCCCTAGTTTGCCTGAATACATACTGTCAACAGCAACTCTGGCATCAGGAAGGGGAAATAAAAAGGCAATAATTCCCAGTTGAGGGTGTTGATGCTGCTTGTGAAGAATGTAGCAGATAGAAAGAAAGAATTAACTTCTCGGGGATCAAGTAAAAAAAGGACACTGCAGAGATCCTAAGGTGTTAGCCAGCGAGGTACAAACCTGAGCTTAGAGTTAAACACCAGAGCTTGTTAATGATAAAATTCCTTTGCATTTACAGCGTGCTTGAGAGCTTTCCTGTGTACCTCCTCATCTTATGATAAGGAAGGCGCTGATAAGGGAGTTGGGGAGGTGAGAAGCAAATCTGAGATCACATAACCCAGCAAGTGACAGAGGAGGAGTAGTGTGGACTAGAATCCAGACCTCTTGACTTTGGGTCTTTCCACAAAACCATATTTCAAACACAGATAAAGCCAGACACAGCCAGGAGATGCTGCTAATTCCAGTTGTGCAGAGAAAATTCACATTCAGCGCCTTGTGATGACACTGTAATTTACTGAGAACATTTCTAAAGAGACACCACCGTTTGCACATGAGTTCAGGGTCGCCACTACATGCTTTTAAGCAACCAGTGTTATGGGAGAGCTTATGTCATCATCTGGGAATTTTAGAAATTGAACGTGGACCCTTACTGAAGATGGCAGACAGCTAGCAGACCTGGCTGTGATGGACAGGAGCCTCTTTGAAAACTTCCTGCCAAGTTTATGTCTCTGTATCTACACTGCTACAAAAACCAGTGAATGGAATTTAACTATTTGCAGGAAGAGGCATTTAAAAAAATCTCTGCTTCAGCATCGTATACTTGGGTGCATTCACAGCTTACTTACAAAGAGTTTTTATTTTATAAAATAAAAAGGTTGATAGGTATCCTTGATTATTTGGTGTGTATTGCACCATCAAGGAAGACAACTATGCCCCAACAAACAGGCCAGCTGGGGGGTGCT